TAACTTCACTATTCATGTTAATTTGTTACAGTTAAGTTGGCAATACATTCATACATTCCTTTTTTTTCTTCTCTTCTTATAATATCTTCTGATTCACTTCGTTTCGGGAACCAAGACAGTTACTCATGTCCCTGGGACTTCAGTGTTCCTGTGTTTTCATGGTTGTATCTAATGTAGATTCTGGCTTAACTTAAAAAAATTCATACATACTGTATATGGGGGGGGAGGCAGGAGTAATGGAACGCCGATTACTACGATTCTTACAAACCTCTTTCGCTTCCTCAACAGTCATCAGTCTGTCCCTGCATGCTCGTCGGTACTAATTGTGTAATTATCTAATTCATTACTAGAGGTAGTATGGTAACTATATTAGTTCTTAATTTAATTAATGACAGCGCAAATTATGCAATAATGCTACACAACATCACACACTGCTTGTGAACTACACCTATCTACTTAGCTGTTCATAACAGAGTGGTTTCTCCAATGTGCAATGACTCAGTGGATACATAATGAATCCACTTGGTAACTTCGTACGTCACAGCGCGGTAAAAAACTTTCCCTCGATCTTCCTTCCCCTCCATCCATGCGCGTGTTAATATCGTAATTTTATGAAGAAGAAATAATTCTCTGAAATATAATAATAATAATAATATATAATAATAAAAATCTTTATTTTCTCAAAAATACTCTACGGATACAAATTATATAATATGTTACAATAAAGAGAGACTGGTGTCTGTTAAAGGTATAACCTATAATATAAGGATATTAGACGTCACTATAAATGAATAACCTTCATGGACATTAGTGGATGACTATAATGATGACTCATTAAAAATGTTACCTAATGATTATAAAGCATTCATGTGTTTTTGCTTTATGGTTGTACAATCACAAAGCTAGTCACAAAAAATTTAAATACGTACTTTTTGAGTAGTGACCACTTTGCACTTACCCACTGTTGAGGCGTTAAAACTTCATAATTTTACTTCTAACACCTATGCAAAAGAATTGGTCGGCTCGGTTTTTTTTTAAAGGGGGAAAATCATCGAATGACTGCTCCCGCCTGGGTGAGGCGGGGGGGAGTGTCACTCTTACTGACTAAAAACCACCCCGTTCCTTCTCCTGCACGTCGAGCCGGAGCCCCGTTAAATAACGTTAAACGTAGGTACCCTCCTGTATACTATTGGAGATTATTTTCAACGCAGGTAATTATTTTAACATTCATAGATCCCTCATGTTCATACTCATAGCAAGATTCTTGTTAACATACCTATTTAATGTCAATGACATTTTTAGTGCAAACAAATGTAAAATTTGCAATTTTAACAGGAATCTTCAAAACCGGTATTATTATTTACTTAAGTGTCTAGATTGGAAGCACAACACGAAGTCTACGAGTGAAATCTACCGTTATGTAAGCGTCGCAGATATAATAACAAAAATCTTCTATATACTGCAAGCGGTGTCCACACGCTTGATATGATAATATAGTGTGTAAACGGAACACTGTACCGCGGAGGACATAGCAAGTTACCGGGGCTCCGCTTCAAAGGGCAGAACGGGGTAGTTTTTAAACGACTTCAAAAAAAGGATGAGGTTCTCAATTCGACCGTATATATGCTTTTTTTGTTCGCCGATATCTCCGTTATTTATGAACATCTAAAAAAACTATTATAAGCACGCCGCCAGCTAAAACCAGATGTGAGCGGATAAAGCTAGATTTCAGCCGTCATATAGACACATAAATACATACATAATATGTTCTAAACATCGTGTAGTACATACCTACTCATATAACAATAGGGACATAGATACAACAATAGCGCTTAGTTGAAAATAAATGGATGAAACGACATAAAAGAACAGATTCAAATTTTTTACATGAGCAACACGTCAACTGTTTTTCTTTGTGATATTGTTATGGCTTATAACGTATTCTCACTAGACCACGTGTGACTATTTCTCTAATAAATGTGCAAACGTACAAGACGAGTAAATTGTGATAAGAGATTTTTAGTATGTGTATAATAATTATGAATGTTGTAGTAGGAGACTTTTTTATGGAATGAAGGCGAACGAGAGGACCGATCACCTGATGGTAAGCGATTTGTAAGTACAAGTTTGTTTTACATTTAATGTCGTTTACGTCGGTACGAGACCGCGTTCGGTACTCCTGATTGGTTTGTTCATTGGCGCCGGCCAATCAGAGACCCAAACAGCACTCGATTCGATTACTTTTAGCGTATAACAAACTCGTACTAAGGCCTCAGTATACCAACGAGGAAGAAAAGCATTACTAAATTACCTTCAACAATTTATAGGGTAAATGACAAATAATTTTAATATCCATCTTGTAGATTATTTAAAAACATTACACACGTATTTTTAATTTTCTTACAGTAATGAAGTTTCGAAAATTATTGATTTGAAATATCGCATGACGTCGCTTTTGAGTACGATTTGTACTCTAAAATGACGTAGCTACCTCACACTCCTAAACTTTGATTCGTTTTATCTAAGTAATGTTTTCTTATACGACAAAATAAAAAAATACGTGTCTAATATTTTGGCTTAGTAGCGGTTTCGCCCTAATTTTGATCGCCCGAATCGGGCGAATGAACTACTTTCAATTTTGAATATTTTTTAGGGCCGGTTTCGCCCGAGACAAATTTAATAGCGGGCGAATCAGGTCAAGTAAAATTTAGTAATGGACTATTCGCCCAAATACTATTATACCTTAAAAAAAAATAAGTAGTACAGTCGAGCGCACCATGTATAAATATTTTTAAAGAGGATTTACTTAGGCACATGTGTTACTCAAAAATAGTAAGTAACCTACTAGATAATATGCACAATGACTTTTGTTCCTCAGCGATAGAAGTAAAGACACAGCAAATAAACGCACCCACAGGAACACAAAAGTAGTATAATGCTGTCTCTGTCACTCATTTGCAAATTGTGCAGCGTGTTTCCCATCATTTGGTTTAGTGTGTCTAAAATACTGATTGGCTTAGTAGCGGTTTCGCCCTAATTTTGTTCGCCCGAATCGGGCGAATGAACTACTTTCAATTTTGAATATTTTTTAGGGCCGGTTTCGCCCGAGACAAATTTAATAGCGGGCGAATCAGGTCAAGTAAAATTTAGTAATGGACTATTCGCCCAAATACTATTATACCTTAAAAAAAATAAGTAGTACAGTCGAGCGCACCATGTATAAATATTTTTAAAGAGGATTTACTTAGGCACATGTGTTACTCAAAAATAGTAAGTAACCTACTAGATAATATGCATTAGATAATACTATTTTTACTTTTTTTTACAGTTTTTTTTTACTGTAATCTGTATAAAATCATGATTTCAATCTAACCCAATGCGTTTTTTAATAAAAAAGCATTGAAATTATTTTTTTTACTAAAACGTGCAATGCAGATTACAGTAAAAAAAAACTGCAGAAAAAAACGGAAAAATTAAGAAAAAGCCGACGCAAAATTCCAACGCAGGGGGGTTCAGAATCATGTACTGAATTCATGGTAAGCGGCTTCGGTACACCGTCCCTTACACCCTTCATAATATTAGACATACAGGAATAACCAGATTCACCAACAGAAAGAAAAATGATTGTAAGTAACAATTGTGTGCGCAACTGTACTTTTTTATAAAATTTTACATTTTATTATAAAATAAAGGCTTATTTTTTTGAGGTATAATAGTATTTGGGCGAATAGTCCATTACTAAATTTTACTTGACCTGATTCGCCCGCTATTAAATTTGTCTCGGGCGAAACCGGCCCTAAAAAATATTCAAAATTGAAAGTAGTTCATTCGCCCGATTCGGGCGAACAAAATTAGGGCGAAACCGCTACTAAGCCAATATTTTTCATTACCTAACTGACGGAATAATTACATTTTTAATTTTCACCCTGTCTTCATCCCTATTATATAAATAATTAATTACTTTTACATTACATATATTACATATTTTACAGTACTGAACACGTACATGGTACAAGTTACCTCTCTACAGAAATGGAAATTGTAATTTTGTTTATTTAAAATGAGCGTTTTCCTTAGTTGACTCACAAAGAAACTTCGAGGGAATACCAACTTCAAACTCATACTTGACTAACATCACGCAATAGGATAGATCCCTAATTTTTATTTTAATGTCCGCCTGGTTTTATTATTTTAAATCATTAGACCCGTATTTTTTATTTTCTTACAGAAACGAATACTTTCGACGACATATTGATTTGAAATGTCGCGTGACGGCACTTCTATGTACATTTTATACGTACAAATGACGTTTTAGCCCCCACTCCTAAACTTTGATTTGTTTTATCTAAGTATTGTTTTATTATACGACAAAATAAAAAAATACGTGTCTTATATTTTTTAATTACCCAACTTACGGACTAATTAGATTTTTAATTTTCATAACCCCTGTCATAATCCCAATTATTGAAAAAAAAAGAAAGAAAAGTCTATGTATACTCAAAATATTTTTTTTATTAAACACATTAAATATCACAATACTTTATAAGTTTTTACAAGAATCACTTTTAGTGAAGTACCGCACGAATACTGAAAGGCTACTCAATTTTTTGTCAACTTATCAGTCAGTCATTTTCAACTTAAATATCGTGCTATCTCTATCATTTTACAGAGAATTTGTAGTGACAGAACTATACCTAAAATAGAGTAGCCTTTCAAATAGAGTAGCATTTCCTTGGACGTAAGATATGCACTAGGTAGTTAAGCAATTTTGGCATTCATGTTTATAGACCGTATTTATATACATCTCTAACTTGATCACGAAAACACATAAACAACGTGAATTCAACATACTTATACTTAACTCGTCGAGTACCGTCATTATAGACACAATTATAGAACAATAGGTTGCGGTCACCGGTGACCGCTTGGTGTTTGACAGTTTAATACTTATAAAAATAAATATTCTGTGATGTAAAATAGTTCCCTAACATTTTAAAAATAACTAAATAACAATAAAATAATACAAATGATCATCTTAACTATACCTCTACAAAATATTCAAACATACCTACATATGAAAAAGTTATAGGTACGCATGGATATTCATTATTATCTATTTTCCAAAATGTTTCTATGTCATAATCGGCGTTAACAGACTGTTTTATTTTTGTTAAAATTAGGTTTATTTTCCTGACCTAAAAGTATAGTCTGGACAAATCTGAAGGTAAATGAAACGACCATGCGTTAAACTCTTTTTACACTAGAAACATCAATGTTTATAAGTTCTCTTTCATCGTGCTATAAAAGTTACAGTGCTACTCAGATCAATAAGTACCAAATTGAGCAATCCCTGGCAAAATGTTCAACAAACAAAATACATGATCATTATATTATACTATAAGCTAGCTGGTCTACTTCATGTCGGGTCTCAAGATCATGTACAATGCAATCTATCGTCAAGATGTCAAACGATTCTAGTAAACAAAGTAATGGTACCTACATACTATTGAAGCTGGGTTTATAAAATACAAAATTATGGTTTCTTATATAAAATTCGTTAACATAATCTTCTTAATACAATTACTATCATTTCATTCTTACTAAACACCAGAAAATGCAATAAGGTAAATAAAGTTCTTTTCACCTAGAAGTTCGAGACATCAGAACTGCTTTTAACTACACGACATTATCAAATCACGCATAGACACTTTGAGGTGTGTTTATACTTAGTATGCTATACAAAAAGCGATAACAGCTGCTAATATTGTTGTAAACATAGGTCCATTCCGAGTAGCCGAATTTTTACGTATTGACTTGTCTGCATATGTTTGTAAGAGACCACATTGCACAGCTTTTCTCATGTTATGAGTTGGACTAGAGCGAATCACGAAACACTGCATTCCCGGTGTCACTTGCACAGGTGATCCCTTAACGTCCAGAGCGTTCACTACTGTTGTATTTGTCGTGGTAGTCACTACAGATGAAGTTATAACTGTTCCATTGGGTGCCAGACCGCCCACCGAGGTATTCATCGGTACATTCAAAGGAATTGCAGTCGTAGGCGGCGCTGTCTGGTTCACAGGCACCAATGTTCCGTTGGGCAACATTGCATACAAAACATTACCAGGTACAGGCACTGCCGGAGCCGGCGTTGCGTTAGCTGCCATCATGTTTGTAGTATTTGTCACAGTTGTATTCGTTACAGTAACCACCGAAACAGTTGAATTAGTTCCTGTACTACGTTGCGCTTGATCTTCTAAAATGAAACTGCTTATAATTTGACAGTCTATTCTTGTCTCCTCGTAATCACCGTTGTCTTTTTTCACTGCGAATTTGCACACTTCGCCGGGTTGTGGCTTGTAGTGTTGAGTGCGACTGTGTGCGTAAGCGGCGCCAGCAAGAGTTCCAAGGTTGAGTAACGCCAAACCGGCCAACAACGTACCGTATTTACTGCCTGAATTTTTGTACTGATAAACGTAAGTCGGAGGGGTGCCATGGTACACTGGATAGTTCACTGGTGGGCCACCATGTGGTGGAGCGTATGAGATACGCTGCGGCGGGCTGTAGTGGTAGTTGTAAACATTCGTTGTATGATGCACCGTGCTAGGTTTGTTTTGTGGGTATCTGTTGTTGTTGTTGCCAGACAAACCACCGCCAGATGAAGGATAACCGTGACTGCCACCTGAAGATGGATAGCCGTGACTGCCTCCGGATGATGGATAGCCGTGACTGCCTCCGGATGATGGATACCCGTGATTACCTCCATTGCCGGACAAGCCGCCACCGGAAGGATATCCATGGCTACCTCCGCTGTTCCCGCTCCCGGACAAACCGCCACTTGAAGGATATCCGTGACTTCCTCCGCTACTTCCACTCCCAGACAAGCCGCCCCCAGATGGATATCCGTGACTAGGGGGACGCGCACCAGATGAAGGATATCCGTGACTACCTGACGAGGGGTATCCGTGTCCCCCACCAGAGAGCCCACCGGAGTGATGACCTCCACCCGATAAACCACCAGATTTTGGATAACTATGTCCGCCACTAAAACCTCTCTTCGCTAATATTGGTTCCAATAGCACAGCTAATAGGAAAGCGTACAACAATGCACGCTTTATAATAAACATTTTGAATGTCACAATCACAACGTCTCAAACACGTTCACCATCGACACTCTTGCGCACTGGACTGAAGTTAGAAGTGCACTGCAACGCGCGCCGCGTTTCGCTTCGATGACGAAACCGCGTCATATAAATGGGTACCCCAGTGATACCACATACAAACGTATTATTAAAACTTAAAAAAAAGTCAGACGTCAAATAATATTGTCAAAAATAATTTATTTTCCTTTTTATCTATCTATGTCAATGAAATAAGGTGATAAAAAGAGGTTAAATATGTTGTGTTTGTTTTATCTTGAAAAACTGTCACAGTCAAAATGTTACAATTGTGTGAAATATGGTAAGATATTTTGTTCAAAATGAGCATTATTATACCGTATGTCGTAATTTGTAAATCGCTTCGTTAATAATCAATTTCTTTCTTTTTTATACTTGATAGGTTGACATACATACCTGATCAATAGACCTGATTGCAAATTGCAAACAATATTTAAACACAATTAGAAATATTTTAAATGAAGATAACGTATTTTTTGCGTGTGACAACATTGTAAAATAGTAAACCGGTCGCGTCGCGCGTCGGTGTGGCGGCCAGCCTGCGCGAGAGCTCGGCCCTCGGGGTCTCGCGCTGCGCGTTACATTGTAAATTTACCTGGTAAACAGATGTAGCGCGCAGGTGATAGTCGAAGCAAAGTTTTTAGTTAGGGGAACACCGCGGCGATGTGACGTCACATTAACGTCAATGCTATCGTCACATTCCTCCTTTGCATTCGTCACCTCTCGTAGATCATAGTATAGTTGTTGTTAGACATCATGTGGGGACTTTATTTCGTGAACACAAATGGATAAGGGGTCGATTTTTTAACTACTACCGTAGGTATTGTGTAAATAAAAAAAACAGAAGAACTTGTTCTCATAAAATACCTATAACTAAATTAAATTGCTAATAAAATCAATAGAATAGCTCATAAAATAAATGAAATTGCTCTCAACAAGCACAATCCTGATCATTATCTTTGACCGCCAAATAGTTTATCCTGTTACAGGTCGAAGCCCTCTGTGTAAATCTAGAACATGGATCTACAATGCAGGTTTGTCTTCACAAATATTTTAGGATAAATATTATAGTCAGTAGTATTATAAATAAATATTAGAGTAGTATTTGAAACGTAAATGCTATCAAGATTTAATTTTATTGATTGATTTAATAAATACAATGGCCACTCTCGTGCCATTTGAACCTCTATTTATTCAAACAATGACAATAGTAATGAGCATAGATTTTAAATGTATTCTTAAAGGATTTGTGCATTAACGGGGCTGATAAAATAAACCAGTTCGTATAGATATATTAATTTAATAAATATTTATTTCATTTGAAGCAACAATCTATTTATAACAATCACACAGACACCAAATTATATACATTCAGCACATTTTCATAATATTCGAAAGTTTGAAGATCATTATTTATAAAACATCATCACAATATATCGTAATAATACAAAATAATCTATTTAAAGACATCATGACTTTCTAATATAAGCAGAATTGACTACAAGCGACTTTAAATATTTACACGCTACGACTTTTTATTTTTCTACTCTTAGGAATGTTTGTTTCTCTTCTCTGGTCGTCTCCTTACGTGACGCTATACACCGGATAGCTCCGGCAAGGTTCCTGTCAGCTGTGGTCTGCGCTGGCACTGCGCACTCGTCGAATTAATTCCTCAACTCGCTTATAAGGACTTTGGCATCTCTCTTCGTTAGTATCTATAAGATAGGGGCCACCCTCGCTGTCCCTACCCTCTGGCGTGTGGCAACCACTAGAGCCCTCAGCTGCTCTATTTATAAATGGTTCTACATCTGGAACTAGCGGAGTAGCCACTACTACCGCTCTAGTGTCGTCAGTTATACTCGCTTCAGCTTCCTTCTGCCGAAGCCACACAGGAGAATTCACGTATACTTTTGGTCTTTCTCTCAGAGCATTGCACCTCTCTAAAGCCTGTCTTCTAACTGGTATTGGGGGTCTATAAGCGGCTTGTATGGTCACTCCTCTGCCTCCCATAGAGCACAGAAGACCCTTTAAAGCTGCTCTAAAGTCTTTTAGATGATACGCGTACAGAAAGGGATTGATGGCAGAATTTAAATGGGAGACGATGATGCAGATGTACGTGAGAGGGTTGGGAATGTCGAGCTCAGGCATGAAGGCTTTGATTGCATTGACTGTGTAGAGAGGTATCCAACAAATGATGAAGAAAAATACTATAATGGCGAGATTCTGTGTAGCTTTGACTTCTCGCTTCTGCGCAGCTCCAAGCACTCGTAGCATGGTGCCTCCTCCAGGAATGCGGCCCCGACAACCGTCAACTGTCATCACCTCGCTGAGCTAGAAAGATCAAAACATATTCTGTTTAGTTTTACTTTGCGCAAATAGATCTATCTACGCTTATACAAAATCAAATAGGCAAAACGCCAATCTATTTTGCACCGAAGGCCGGCGAATAATTCGGGTGTTATAAAAACTTTGCAAGCCGAATGAAAGTATTTTTGATAATTTATGAATTCGATTATATTTGTACTAGAAGCTTACACGTGTAGCATGGCTGTAATATATGAATATTTTCAATTCTTATAGAACATTCTAGTAAATGTATTGTACTTTAGAACTCATCTTGGGTAAAAAGCTAAACATGGAATATCTATAATATGAAAAAGAAAGTCATGTTAGTTACACTATTTATAACTATAGAACAGTTGTACAGTTTTGGCTGAGAGGGGAAATAGAACCAGGAGACGAATATGATATTTTTCTTTCTACCAAGGCTTTATCCAAGAGTTTCTCAAAACTCCTACGGTACTGGGAAAAAATGGATTGCGCGTATGAAATCGTGGGCAGAGGCTAGTATTTACATAAACTGTCTCATTAAAAGGTTACAAATTACCTGTTTGACAACCACGCGATAGATGTGTGCGTAGAAAGCGGCGAGCAGCACGCTGGGCGTGACGATGGTAGCGAAGTAGAGGAACAGCAGGTAATTGTAGTCCATGACCTCTACGAAGTAACATCCTGGCATGTTGTTACCAGCGTGCCAGCCGAACAGTGGAAGAAGACCCACTCCCGCACCAGACACCCAGCAGACGGAGATAATACCTGGAGAGAGAAATGAGCTATAAGACTACAGTTAACTTAACTGAACAATTTATAGAAAATTATTTTCATACCCCGAAAGTCGAAAGCTTATTAATATTATAATTGCGCATAATGCTTATATAATTGTAGACCTATACCTATAGATTTATCTAATCTGTTAATACAGAACGTATAGTATAACTACTATGAGATCACAATTGTAAATTATTTTAGTATCGGCACGGTGTTCATATGTAGATTTTCTTTATCTCGTATATTTATTTCTGATTTTATTTATGAGATCCCAATTCTAAAAACGACCAAATTATAGAAAAGGCCATAAAGAACAAACATCTTCCAAATTCATCGAAATGGTTCACGTTATAAATATTTTGTCCTATTCATCCAATGAAAGTCTACAAAAGCGTAAAGTCTACTAATGTTTACTAAAGCGCCTATCAGAATTATGCGAGAGATCTGTCGTCGATTGCTTTGCTCAGCATTTTTCTGCAGGAGTTTTATTTAGACTTCTGCAGCATGCATGCATGCAGCATTTTTTAGCTACTTTTATAGCGCTTTATAGTGTTCCTCGTTAAAGGGATGTTGGATAGTCCAACTCGAAAATAGTTTTTCAAATCGAATTAGTACTTCCAGGGATGAACGCGAACCATGAACCAACAAACCAACGTGTAATCGGAAAGCTCCTGAAACGCTGACAAAAAGATATTGTTTTTACAATTCCAATCGATTTAGTTTTCGTTTATTAAAACTTTACGTACTCATTAATAAGGACAAACACGTGTAATAAATAACACAATTGTGCTATCAAGGTCATTAAAGAGACAAACATTATTATTTCGTACCAATTAAATTGTATAAGTCCAACTAACGTCATAAGCGCGAAAGGCGTCATTTATAAGGATGTACCTATGAATGTCTATAGCTCTTACGCAGTCAGGTCATACAGTAAAATAAAAAACTAATTCAATATTGTACACTTTATTTCAAGAGGTAAAATACTTTTCTATAACGAAAGTCTTATTATATTTAATTATGTATTAATATTACAAACTATTGTAACAGTTAGCGCAAAATATTATGCGTATTAAGCGTAAAAATAACTATATTTTTAAAGACTGTATCTTTTGTTTACATTTTTAATATAAAATTATATAACGATAACGAGAGCACACATATAAATAAATAACAATATTATCAGCATACAGCCATACTCGTTAACTACACTCGCTCACAATTCAAATCATTCTACTAATTAAGTCTTATATTGTACGTGAACACTAACTTATTATTAACTTTATTTAATACACACAAAGTACCTATTGCCTGTGTTTACAGAAAATAACATGAACCAAAATCACTAGTGGAACTTCAAAAACTTTTTACAAAGATAATAGAACTGAATTCTGTTATTGTACAATTTTACAAAACACCACACAGAAGTTTTACACTTAATTTATATTGCAATAAACAAGGACATCCACCAAGGCGGGTTCTTTAGCCATGATTTTAGTTTTTCTCTAGACGGTAATATACCAGTGTCCTTCTTTGGCTCTGGCATTTTGGAGTAAGCCATCAAAGTTTTACAATCGACCGCAGTACGTAGAGAAGCCTCTCTTGTTATAATTTCTACGGCGCACTCCATATTATTAGGGTTCACTGGGGGCCCTTTAACACTCAAAGGATCTACAAGGGTTGAATTAATAGTACACACTGTTACATTCACCATAGTCGCGTTAGTTGTCACCGTCTTGGTGATGTAAGACGTGGAACCGTTCACTATGAAAGTCTCTGTGGTCACTGTCGTGTTTAATTTCTGTGGCAAAGTGTTGTTAGCGTCCACCGTGAATATGACGGTGCCATTAGGTGCTAAGAAACTTCTCACACTAGCCATCACATCAATGCTGGGAACAGTTGGTGTAGGATCTGGGTTCTCTGCGGTAGCTGGTGCCGCTTTCATTGTCGTCACAGCCTTCTCGATCGAGCTGACTGTTACGGTGCACATTGTTTTATTCAATTGAGTTTGTTGCGTTGGAGCCACTTTTTTACTATCTTCGGTGAAGGTTGAAACAATTTCACACGGAATTTGAAGTGCTTCCTCTCGTCCGTATTCTTTAATTTTCAATATGCAATGCGCTTCGTCTTGAGGCCTATTCTGTGGTCTGTAGGAAGAGGAACCGTAGGAGGAGGAACCGTATGATGAAGAACTCGGCATATCATACCTGCGTCTATAGTAGTCATCATAGTAGTAGTGGTCTGGGTAGCTGTGTGAGCGTCCAAGGTTGTACAACGTTAAACCAGTCAGTAGATCACCGTATCGGCTGTTTGAGTGCCTGTAATCTTGGATATACACATACTGTGGTGTTGAGTAGTACGTAGGCACGTTGGTATGGTAATAATGATGGGTTGTATGAACTGAAGAAGATGGATGACTATTTGTATTGTATGTATAAGTTGGTTTGTAGTTATTCGAATTTGATGGGTAGTAATGGGATCCAGAACTCGAAGTAGGTCTGTAACTTGACCCTGAGCCGGATAATCCCGTTGAGCTTGATGGGTAAGAATGGCTTCCAGAGCTTGATGATGGTCTGTAACTTGATCCAGAACCAGATAGTCCTGTTGAACTTGACGGATAAGAATGGCTTCCCGAACTTGACGTCGGCTTGTAACTAGATCCTGAACTGGATAATCCTGATAACGATGTAGGATATTTGAAATTGTTAAGATATGATACTCCCTCAGGTAAAGGACTTATGTAAGTTCCAGATCCTGATGACGATGACGATGACGACGGGTAACTAGATGATCCAAAGTTCCATGACGATCCAGATGACGATGACGACGACGACGGGTAACTAGATGATCCAAAGTTCCATGACGATCCAGATGACGATGAAGGATATCTACTACTGGAGCCATATCCCGATAATCCTGAAGATGATGAAGGATATGAGTGTGAGCTGGAGCCATATCCAGATAATCCTGACGACGACGAAGGATATGAGTGTGAACTGGAACCATATCCAGATAATCCTGACGACGATGAAGGATACGAGTGTGAGCTGGAACCATATCCGGATAATCCTGATGATGACGATGGGTAGCTATGCGACGACGAGGAGCTTCCCCAACGACTGGATGACGAGGAACTTGAGCTCCAACTGGGTTTGGAGTAACTCGACGACCCCCAACTCTTGCCAAAGGAGCTGCTGCTTCTACTACTGCTCCTGCTGCTGCTCCTTCCACTGCTTCGCCAACATTCTATATAAGTCACAGTCAAACACGAAACTAGTAGGCACAACAGAAATATTCTGTTGGCCATTTTGCGTGACGTTAAGCGAGCGATATCTCAAACACGTTTGGTCCACTTGCCTTTGATTGGCATTATTTAAGACCGGTACGGGTAACAGTGTGTGTATTTATGTGTGTGTGAGTGAATGACGTGAACTATTCAGGGAACCTCATTTGCTCACGCCGACCACAGATAAGAGAAGGCTATAAGGTGAAACAAACATAAATCAAACTAAATTGATACAAAACAACTTCTCGAGGCTCCCAATAGAGCTTCAAACAATAATAAGCTCATCATCAGCTTGTCAAGGTCAACTCCTGGACAAATGTGTTTGTATGCCATTGGTAGATGCTTGATGTCCAGGCTCATAGGCTGCTATACCTGGCCTTCTATTTCCAGGCACGTCTGAACATCATCTAAAGATCGACAGTTCATCAGGTTGGAGGGTGTCTGAGACAGACAGTTCATTTCTACTTGAGCTTACTGATACCATAAGCTATGCCCGTAAGCATTTATTTCAATTAAACCTTAAGTTGGCTCTTTTGAAACGTCAAAAATTGATTTGTCCGTCTGTCTGTCAGTGAAGCTAGGCGCTCGTTTCAAAGTGTTGTTACTAATGGAGAAGAACGAGCAAGAAACTCCACAAACTCCACTCTAAACTATTTGAAAAACTGTTACAGGAAACCAATTCTACTTCCGAGAATAGTAAAATTAGTTTGATAATACTTAACATCAAATATACGTATATTCCCAAATATACAACTATAAAAGATTTCCCGGGAGCTATCTTGTTTCTCTGAAACTGGTCAGTTTCAAACATAAACAACGATGACTCACACTCCCCAAGCATAGTGATACGTGATAATATGTTCCAAAGTCCAAAAAAATGCTTTAACTTGATTTCTCTATATTAGTAAATAAATAATCATGAAACCTAATCAACCGACAATCATCAACGTCACACCAACTATGAAAATAGTAGTGAAATACTTATTATTAAAAAAGCACACAATAATGTTTTACAATCTGAACCAGCAATTTCGGAGATAAGTGCGTTCAACCAAACGAAGGAAATATTCAGCTTTATAATATACATTTCGCTCTTCTATACGTTTTTTACACTCTGTGCAAGGAGAACGCTTCCAAAAGACGAAGACAGGAGTTGGTAAACAACGAGTTGTATTTTTTAAAAAGTGAGGAATTTAATGTTTTTTTTATGTAATACAACATAACAACATAACATCACGCCTTTTATCCCCGAGGGGGTAGGCAGAGGTGCATACGGAATAACACCCACCTTTCACTATTTATATATGTTATGAACCCCGCGTAATATGGGGTGAGCCTATTGCCATATACCGGACATAATTCCAGACTTCGTGCTACTACAGAGATTTTTTTAAAAAACCCAGTAATACTTTGCCCGACCCGGGAATCGAACTCGAGATCCCTTGCCTGGTAGTTGCACTTGCGACCACTCGGCCAACGAAGCAGGCAGTTTTATGTAATAATACTTTGTTATTTCTTAATACTATGTATACAGAAGCTTGGTATACCTATTTAAACAAATAAATAAGTAATAATAGTTTTTGTAATCAACTGCTCAAGGTTCATGTTGCATAGATAACTAGAAATCAAAAACAAAAAAAAAATGTCTACATTTTCAGATGCATAACATAACATAACATCACGCCATTTATCCCGAAGGGGTAGGCAGAGGTGCACATTATGCCACTGTACAATGTAACACCCACTTTTCACTATTTATGTTACGAGTCCCATGTAATAGGAGGTGAGCCTATTGCCATATACCGGGCACAATTCCAGACTCCGTGCTACTACTGAGCCTTTTTAAAACCCAGCAATACTTTGCCCGACCCGGGAATCGAACCCGAGACCCTTTGCTCGGCAGTCGCACTTGCGACCACTCGGCCAACGACGCATTTTCAGATGCGTTCTGTTTATACCTTGTTAGCCCCTGTCGATATGTAGCGAGTGAATAGTCGTTGATCGAATGTTGCTCAGTTTTATTGTGCAGGATAATAATTGTAAAACAAAAGTTATCGTTTAACGGTGTGACTACACTTTAAAGCCTGCATGGAAAGTGTTCCATGTTTATAATGTGTTTATTATTAAGCCCATTCAAAGTATTTCTGGTTTTTCGACATCAAAATCTTTATAGTAGCACTGCGAGTTTGGAATTGTACCCGGTATATGGCAATAGGCCAACACCCTATTACATGGGACTCATAACATAATTAGTGAAAAGTAGGTGTTACATTGTATAGTGGCATTTAGTGCCGTAATATGCACCTCTGCCTACTACCCCTTCGGCGATAAAAAGAGTGATGTTATGTTATGTTATTGAGCCCGTTGTCGATCTTGTGTCGAAATAATAATATGTATAGAACACATCATCAGTCGTGAAGGCAATACTATTATTATTTATAAATAATTAATACACTAATTATGGCTAAAATAATATTACCGTGGCGTTTCATAATTTTAAGTTACTATTACTACAAGGCGTTCTTAATCATGCTTGGAATGTTCATAGAGCATTCGTTCATCTTTTTTTAAGGGGGGAAAATCATCAAATTTCTTCTCCCGCCTAGGTTAGGCGGGAGGGAGTGTCAGACTCTTACTGCCTAAAAACCACCCTTTTCCTACTCCTGCACTTCGAGCCGGAGCCCCGGTAACCCGTTAAGTTCTCCACGGCTCCGTATCGGCATCAGACCTATTGGGATCGAGCATGTTTAAAATGTTCATAAATCGAACGCCTGTCGATTCGCAAGTATGCCCCCGTAATAAGCATGCTATTTGAGCAGCATTCCGATACACATGCTAATGTTATTAAGTGACAAATGCTCAATTGAAGAATGCTTCCGTGCTTAAAATTAGCACGTGCAACTTAAACCAGTACCTTTACCATGGTTAAAGACAGACTAATATATCGAGTTGTGCAGCGTGGGTCATGCTTTTAGCCGATTAGTGGCACGGCTCCACGACACGTCACGTCCACCACAACAGAATCGAACATTATCTCGCGGTTTTTAAAATTTAGGCTAAAAATGTATCCAAGCTTTAAGAGCTATATTTCAAGGGCACAACCAGTCGCGCCACCGTGTGCGGCTGAATGAGTGACACGCCATAAAGCGCTATAGTAATTAGTGGTGACGCGACCAGCATTGTGCCTTCTGAGCTGGTCACGCCGCCAGATTGATCACACAACTAAGTGGGCAATAGGTGAGTAACGCTCTGTAGAGCTGAGTGCCAAGCAACGTATCTAATAGAATCGAGCGCATTAGGCGCTCTGTTTTGTTGGTGTACTAGAGCCGGCCAATCAGAGCCCCGAACGCACTCGATATTATTATGTTACGATTGCAATAATTATTCGTGCTTAGTACTCAGCTCTATAGAGCGTTACTCACCTTGTGTTTTATTGGCCACGAGTAGTTGAGCCGCCCTAGTGTCCCGGTGAAATTTAGCCCTAATAAGTGCCCACACGTGGCACAAATAATAACCAACATGTATTGTTATCAAGGTCAGTAGGAGCGTCAAACATTTGGAACCAATTAAATAATTTAAAAGGTCTAGACACAACGTTGAAACATCCATATCTTGTCTTTATCTACACATGAAGGCGAAAGGTCACTCACTCATATCGAAATCTCGAAAAATGCTGTATGGATAAGGATGAAATTTGGTAGCAGGGTACTTTAAGTTTGTAGAAATTCGTTAAGACATGATTTTGCAACATTGATGAATTATAGGAATACAAAACCGCATCCAAATCGGTTCATTCATTCAGTAGTTACGGTGCCACAGAATGACAGGAAAAACTTATTTAATCGGGTATATAAGTATTTTTGGATATTGTTGTTTTCCAATGAAATGAAAAGGCAGATTATCTTATATATTTTTCTTTATAAAAAATAGAGAAAAAATACCTAATATAATATAACCTAATAAGCATAATTTCATAATTTGGTGGTTATCTAGAATCTATAGAATTAGTCTTACTTATAAATAGGTATACAATAAGTTTACAGTTGCGAAAAAGAAATACATATTTTGTATTAAAACAAAGTAGCAAGTGCTTAAATCATTATTTTAAGAAGCATTATCTCTTGTTTACATTCTTAGCACAAAAAATTTAGTTTACAATGATAATAGGAACGTGCATGAACATACATAAAAAATTATCAGTATTCAACCTCACGCGTTAATTGGTACGCTCTCAAAATTAATGTCACTCTACGAATTACTGAGTCTAGCACAGAATAGTACATAAACACTATAACAAATTTTATTATTAACTTCATTTAATTTATAATAAAATTAGTTTGTAATAAACTACTTATAATAAAAATCACAAAACATAGATCAAAAACATATTTTACAAAAAAATACATGAAATGTGAATTATTTTAGTGTTCCAACAAAGACAAAGTTTTTCGCTAAAAATGTCGAATTCTAATGCTAGCTGACATAATATTTGGTATAGTTTGTGACTTGCTAAATGTATAACAAATGGAACTAAGAGAATACAACTTAGAGAATAGACTTTATTGCTATTATTTTACTTACGAACTAATTTGACTATTCTAGCAGTATTAGCATAATAAACAAAAATAATCTCTTTAGCATTGCTGAATTGGAGACTGCATTTAGATGTGTCATAAACGTGATACAATTTTAAAAAGATTTGTAATTAACTTACACAGCAATAAACAAGGACATCCACCAAGGTGGACTCTTTAGCCATGACTTTAATTTTTCCCTTGGTGGCAATATACCGGTGTCCTTTTTAGGCTCTGGCATTTTGGAGTAAGCCATTAAAGTTTTACAATCGATAGTATTACGTAAGAAAGCATCTCTTGTTTGAATCTCAACCGCACACTCCATATTATCAGGGTTCACTGGGGGCCCTTTAACACTCAAAGGATCTACAAGGGTTGAATTAGTAGTACACACTGTTACATTCACCATAGTCGCGTTAGTTGTCACCGTCTTAGTAATGTAAGATGACGAACCGTTCACTGTGGAAGTCTCCGTGGTCACTGTCGTGTTCACTGCTGGAATGTTCTTTGGAACAGTACTGTTAACTGCCACCGTGGGTATGATGGTGCCATTAGGGGCCAAAGTTCCCAAATTTGTCTTCACATCGACGCTGGGAACAATTGGCGCAGGAGTATTTACCGGTACCATTATTAGAGTACCGTTTGGAGCTAATGTCATGTTCGCTATGGTAGAAAGCGGTGGTGGTATGGTAGCCGCTAGTGATGGGAAATCTTCTATCCTAATGTTGAGATTGAAATTACTTGGCAAAGCATTCACTGAAGAAACATTAGTTGACACAGTTTGGTTAGCCGTCACTGTCGTATTAGGTTTAGAAGCGTTTACTGGTAACACTGATAACACAGGGTTCACTGTGGCCGCAGGAGTTGCTGGCACTGTCGTCACTGTGCTGTTGATAATAGTTGTAGTTGTCGTGCACACTGTTTTGTTCACTTGAGTTTGTTGCGTTGGAGCCACTTTTTTACTATCTTGAGTGAAGGTTGAAACAATTTCACAAGGAATTTTAAGTGCTTCTTCTCGTCCATTTTCTTTAACTTTCAATATGCAATTCGCTTCGTCTTGAGGCCGGTTTTGTGGTCTGTAGGAAGAGGAGCCGTATGACGAAGAACTCGGCATATCATACCTGCGTCTGTAGTAGTCGTCATAGTAGTAGTGGTCATTGTAGTGACTACGTGAGCGACCGAGGTTATATAACGATAAACCAGTCAGCAAATTTCCGTATCGACTGTTGGAGTGCCTGTAGTCTTGGATGTATACGTACTGCGGCGTAGAGTAGTACGTCGGTACGGAGTAAGGCACGTTGGTGTGATAATGATGATGAGTTGTATGATGAACTGTCGTAGACGGGCGGCTGTTCGTGTTGTATGTATGCGTTGGTTTGTAGTTATTGTTGTTGGAACTCGGTGGGTAGTAGTGGGTTCCAGAACTTGATGTAGGTCTGTAATTTGATCCAGAACCAGATATTCCCGTGGAACTTGGTGGATAGTAGTGAGTTCCAGAACTTGAAGTAGGTTTGTAATTTGATCCAGAACCAGATATCCCCGTGGAACTTGGTGGATAGTAGTGGCTTCCCGAACTTGATGTTGGCTTATAATTAGATCCAGAAGATGATGATGGGTATTTGCTGGAGCCAGAACCTGATCCAGAAAGTCCTGAAGACGATGATGGGTATTTGCTGGAGCCAGATCCTGATCCAGAAAGTCCTGAAGACGATGATGGATATTTGCTGGAGCCAGAACCTGATCCAGAAAGTCCGGATGATGATGATGGGTATTTGCTGGAGCCAGATCCTGATCCAGAAAGTCCTGAAGACGACGATGGATATTTGCTGGAGCTAGAACCTGATCCAGAAAGTCCGGATGACGATGATGGGTATTTGCTGGAGCCAGATCCTGATCCAGAAAGTCCGGATGATGATGATGGGTATTTGCTGGAGCTCGAACTTGACCCAGAAAGCCCTGAAGATGACGACGGGTACTTGCTTGAGCTTGAACTTGACCCAGAGAGTCCTGATGATGATGATGGGTATTTAAAGGAACCAGATCCGGACCCAGATAAACCTGACGATGATGAAGGGTATTTGCTACTAGAGCCAGATCCAGATAATCCTGAGGACGATGAAGGATAGCTCGATGTTCCGGAACTCCATCCTGATGATGACGAGGAAGGATACTTGTGGGTACCAGATCCAGATCCAGATAATCCTGACGATGAAGACGGGTATCCGTGTGATGATGATGATCCTGAACTTCCCCAGTGGCTCGAAGATGACGAACTTCCCGAATGCCCTGAAGACGATGATGGATAACTATGGGATGACGATCCCGAGCTTGATCCCCAGTGGTGACTTGACGATGATGAAGAACTTGGATGGTGGCTTGAGCTTGAACTCCAACTAGGTTTGGAGCTGTGACTCGAGGACCCCCAGCTCTTGCCAAAAGAGGAACCACCTCTGCTTCTACTACTGCTACTGCTGCTACTTCTGCTGCTGCTACTGCTGCGGCTTCCACTGCTTCTCCAACATTCTATGTATGTCACAGTCAAACACGAAATTAACAGGCACAACAGAAGTGTTCTGTTGGCCATTTTGCGTGTCGTTAACGAACGAGAGCTCAGACGCGTATGTTTAATTGTCCTGCTGTTAATTGGTTTTATTTAAAACAAGTCCGTGAACTGTGTGTGTGTATGATGTAAACTACTATACAGAGATCCTCATCTGCCATCTCTTTTACTCACGTGGGCAACAGATAAGAGAAGGCTAGAGGTGATGTAAACATTAAGCTAATTCTTACATTTGACCAGAGATAAATATAATACAGCAAGCAATTAGGCTGAATTCTGTTATTTAATGGAGTGGTCCAATCTTTTTGTGTTGGACATGTAACATTGTTCATGCTAATTACTCCATAGGGATAATCCGAATCAACATGAATAATATCAAAGCTGGTCACCATATTATTGGTTATGTATTTGTACGCATGTATACGATTATAATTATTAACTTTTATAAAAAACTGTTTGATGCATACCGAGATAGAAATATTAAAATTCCTGTTGTTGGCGTGTTGTAGGCGGAAATCCGACTTCAGATACGAGTGTAACTATGGATATTATGTTCTTGAATCAAACAAGGTACCTACAAATCCTACAATTACTTCCTACATTTAGCCAAAAAGAGTTAGTAAGAACGTTTTGACCTCAAATCATCGCATCGTCCTCTAGACGACACACGGACCTCCAACACACGCACGATACAACCGAACCGAAATTCGCGCAAAGCTCGCCTGCTTTTGAAAAACTGGTTTAGACCCAGACGTCAACAATGATTCACACACATACTCTGACGTAGATTGTCGATAACTACATAAGTATTCTGATATGTGATTACAGACTCTCTAATCAATGACGCGATTGGTAATACATCGAAGACATTTGATAAGTGGTTGCTTCATAGTGGAGTGGGAAAAATGTTTTGGGTGAATCTAATTCTTATTCTTCTATAGCTTCGGGGATTGTGGTCTGTTTATGGCAATAATCTGGCCCCCGATAGCATTATTGCACTCATAACAATATCTAACGATTAAAGAAGTTACATTGAATTTTTTAAATGCAACTGCATCCATATTCATCTAGTTTGGCGTTCGACCTAATGACTAAATTAGACAATCGATTTAATTCATAGTTAAAAGTATTTTTCATGTATTTGGTAAATCGTTATTTAGGCTATTTATAACAGGACTTCGATGTAAGCATATTTTCTGAATAATTGAACTTTGTTTCTGCCGTCATTTTACTTAATAGGTACCTACCTAATAGTCAACTACCTATTAATTTATTGGTAATGTTCATGATTCCTGGTATCACACGTTTCCTGTTTGCGCACATGATCCTATTGTAATTGCTATTTTAACTTTTGTTTCTATGCACTACAATATTTATTAAGAATTACGTATGACGACAATATGCAATACCTATTTCCGTCATTAAAATAATAAATAAAGTTTTGGCTTGGAACTCTGCTGAATCTCTAGTTTCAGTTTTTAAAATCTATATAAGTAACTATTTAAAAAATTTATAAAAATAATTTGCTGTTCGTTAGTCCCGCTAAACTAAATCTAAATCGACAACTAAATGTAGTTAATTTAGGTCTTGAATTATTTATGAAAGTCCAGAAAAGGTTTAAATTGAGAAAAAAGTGTTTGAGGTGGAGCGAAGTTCTCTTGGTCATTTTTTTTAATGAGTCATGCCTTCTGCATCTCCTGTAAGCCAGGATCTACAGTAGATACAACCATGAAAATACCGCACTGAAGTCCGGCGCGAACCAGAGACATGACTAACTGTCTTGGTTCCCGCAACGAAATGAATTAGACGATATTAGAGGTATAAGAGGAGAAGAAAAAAACGATAGTTTGCACTTCTCTCGATGAGTTACTGCTGGAGACAGAATACATTAGGCCTAAAGACAACACAATCGCTAGGCATCACAGAAATCTGACTAAAAACTAAGTTTGCCTGGTCAGCTAGTATATTATTAATTCGATGTCTAGTAGAAATAAAAGTGTAACTGTTTTAGTTACATTTTTAGTGCACGTTCGCCGCATCCTCTAAAATAATTAATAATAAAATTGCTGAAAGAATGCCTTGTTTATCAAGTGATTGCAAGCACGACAGGTGGTCGGCCCTAATTCCTGCCATCCTATCCTGACGAGTATGGAGACTATTCTTCCGTAAAGACATTAACTCGTCGAGTACCGGTTTTGTAGACACAATTATAGAACAATAGGTTGCGATCACCGGTGACCGCTTGGTGTTTGACAGTTTAATATCACAGTTTCAGTACTAAGAAATTGGTGTAAGACTCATTTCCTCTAATTTTATCACGACAGTTTTATCTTTTTAAGAAAGATAACATTAATTGTGAATGGCAGAACCAGTTTTGCAGTTTATATGACGTAGGTATTTAGTAAGCATATTAAGGAAATACCGACAACAAACACGTCGTTGTAAGAGAGATTGTACTGATAATAATTTATACTTCGGAGTTTCCTGCATTTACAGGAAATTTCAACTTTAAAAAATATTTTATTATTCCCAGAAAGTTCTAGGAATAACACACAGAAATAATTTATATTTGCTGCATGTTACATGAAGTCAGGTACAGAAAAAATATGGAACATAGGTATAGTTACATACATAGGTCACATCACTCCAGGGATTGACGCAGATGAGCCAGGAAAGTGCTCGAGTTGAGACCATGGACCGAAAGACGTAACGTGGCCAGGCCTCCCGCTTGGTGGACTGATGATATAGTCAGAGTATGACGATATAGCTAATGGACGTAAGCGGCAAACTGGCGTTCAACGTAGAGGACTAAGCGGGAGGCTCTTGTTTAGCAGTGGACATCTTTCGGCTGGTGATGATGGTGATATGGTAAGATCTATTCTTATTAAAAAAAATTTAGAAGTATTTCACACTACCGGTGATTTCATAATAAAATAGGGATTGTAAGATTGTAATGCCTATCGGTATTGACTACAAAAAAGGAAGAAGTATTCGGTAAAGAAGTAAAGTAGTATGTATATGAAAAAAGTATGTGGCTAGTTAGATGATGTTTATCATATGCTGGTGGAGTGTGTTAAATTTAAGGTGGCGAGGGACTCACTAATGCGACATTATAATATAAAAAAATATGATTTGGGATCTTTTTCTAGTATTTTGTCAGAACCTTTAAGCAATACAGCACGATCTATTGTAAGGATGTTGCAATAGTGATGACCCGCTGGTATTTGATATTTCTAATTAATTTTTAGTTCATTTAAAATGTTTTAGATAGATAAGATTGGGCTACGATGGGGCTAACGTAGCCTATTGGTTAAAAGCCCCTAAAATAAAATAGATAATAAAAATATATATATATGAATATATATGAAAAAGTATAATATAATTGATTGTTACCTGTAGTACTACGACTGTAGGAAGGGATTGTTTTTTAAGTATCTTCATAGATTTTATATTTCTAAAGGGCATTGACTAAAATTGGTGCCTTTCTTTTTTCTGGCGGCAGTCGATGATTTATGGAAAATATTATCTAGAATGTCATTACAAACGAAATTGTCTAAGGGCTCATATATGGAAATCTCAGTCTGGACTGAGTTATGAGCGTTAAAAGGAGCTGGAGTCAAACATTTTACTTTCGTTTTTTTATTCAAATTATTCATATTTTTGTCACAATTCCTAACTTCAAATTGTGCGCCACTGTACGCCGGACACAGAAACACCAAATCACACCACAATATATCCATATTGCCAGTCGCTAATTTATATTACCTATTTTCTCTCAGTCGATAACTTGTGGGATGCTTCTAGGAGTTGGGTTATAAAGGTTCATGAGTGTCAGCTGTGGTACCAATGGTGGGTTGAGTAGTTGTAGCCGTCCAAACATAAAATAAAATATTTTTTTGCCGTTGACTCCTGGTGGGAGACTCATCTACGTGATGGAATACGTCAGATGAGCGTATATTTTTTGTTATATAATGTGATCATTCGAAATGCGTCATTTTGTGCCTGAATAACGATGTGATTGTACAGAATCTTATGCTAGATGTAGATTAAAGTATTAACTGTAGTTAGATTACTCACTAATCGGAAGTAGGTAAGTCGGGAGAATAGACAAAAAATGTTTTTTTCGTGTTTTGACGACTGCTACTACTCAATCCGCTACCGACGCCGCAGCTGACACACATAGCATTTCATGATAGGAATCAGTAAAGTATTTTGCGGGTTTTTGACTGAGAGGAAATGAAAGGAATGATCATGAAAATCTGTCCATAAACCGTATACATATAAATTGAACACGCTAGCCACTCAAACGAAATGTTTTTTTTCTTCAGCAGTGGTCAGTTAACGGTTCACTTTGTTCTGATTCCGTGGCCTTATAACAAAAAAAAATAAAATAAATAAAAACAAATATAACAAACAAAAAAAAAATAAGTAAAAAAGTCCACAATAAGCTTTACTATATTCCTTGATATCTATAAACATTTATTACAAAATATTTTTGACAAGTAAATGAAGAAATATGCGGTCACCACCAACAAAATCACAGGAATTATATAGCACTATTTTAACATCTTTGAACCGATTTAACTCGGTTCGGACTGTGTTTTTGATATAAGACCCCATATATTTTTTTGTTTGTAATGTTATTCTGCATCAGTTTATCCACATCCGATCAACTGCCGCGAAAAAATGAAAAGGCACCACGCTCCATACAAATTTGGTCATTGTCATTTCTAGTCGGAATTGGCACCAAATCTCAAGAGGCCACGATTGAATGTCCATATTTTATAAAGAGCAACTGCCATCGAACCTTCGCGATCTAATGATTCAATCTATTTGGTGTTCTATACAGCAGACTGTCGTAAATATACTTACGACAGTTAAAATGTTTTCCTTATAAGACGGTATTAAAAATCTTTTGTTAAAAACTTAGGAATAACAACGAATTGTAAAAAAACCTCGACGTCTGCTTAACATTGACCGCATTAGTAATTGGCATATTAAGGTGAATTGCCTTCCAAAAAAGATGCGGACGAGTAACAAATTATCACAAATAGAATAATTATGTAAG